TGGCCCTGAAGACATTGTCCCTCTTTTTTGGGTGGAACAGCTGGTGGATTTGAACCTTTTATCTTTGGGTTGCCAGCACAACTCTTTACCACTAAGCCACCAGAGCATAAGCAATAATACTCTGTAGAATTAGGATTAAATGAGTTGATGTGAGTAAGCAGCATGAAACCTGGAGTATGCATTGTTGTTGTTAGGTGCCATTGGATAGACTACAACTCATAGCCATCCAGAGAGCTCTGGTGGCCTAGTGGCAAGAAGCTGTGCTACAATCCCGAAGGCACGTGGTTTGAGCCACCAACTGCTCCAAGAAAGAAGGATGGGCAAGCTCCTCCCGTGTGATTAACTGCCTCTGAAAACCCACTGCTCAGGTTCGACTTGATGGTTCACAACAATATCAACATAGCGACCCTACAAATAACAGATCCAAATCTTTCCCTAAGCTGAGCCATCTTTTATTTTGTTTGCTTTCCCCTTTCTTTCTCTGAATCTGACAACTCAAATCTGCTTTTTACAATATCTTCACATAGAAATAAAGAGAATCTGAAAGCAGCTCGCACAGACTTGTCTTTATGCAAATATGTAGGCATCAGCTTCTTGTGGGATTCTGTTTGCTACATGCCAGATGTCCAGGGTGAAACAATATAATAAGAAGAGAGCATAATGTTGATCACGGTTCAAGACAAAAGACCAGGCCAAGCCAGGCTCCACAGCCTTCCTCTCAGGTGATGCAGACAGAATAACAACAATAAGGGCCAGATTGGTTTGGTCGCATTTTCCCTCCGGCAGCTTTTTCTGTGGTTTCCTTGGAGGACTTTGCACTGGTATTTTTCAGAAATAGCACAGTTGTTTGGGATGATTACAGGCCAGCAGCATTTCCCAGAGGCTGAACTGTGTTTAGCTCATTGACCTCCTGTTCCCCTGAGCCTGATGGAGGTGCACAGCTGGCCCTCTTGCTACCAGTGTGTGTCTTGTATTGACGGAGAACAGATCTTGAGAAGTTTGGCACATGTCTGTCAAAGTAGAATGGACATGATGGAGAGACCTAAGCACACTTTTGCAAATGAGAATCTCAAAGGGACATGAACCCAATCCCAGTAGAAGAGCAGATGTACTACGTATAGTCTCACCTGTCAAACTGTTAAGGCACAAAAGTCTCTTAAAATCCTGAATGGGAAGAAATAACTATTAATAAAACAAGGAGACCCTTTGAACTTAGTGGAGAAAACATCATAGCAACAAGCTGCATGTGAGCCACTGAGCATCTGAAATAGAGCTAGCCCAGCTTGAGATAGGCTATGAAACACGCAAAAGTTTCACATCTCAGACAAGAAAAATATCATTATTGTTTTTTAATTTAAAAATTCTCTATTCGTTAATGGAAAAAGTAAAACTGTTCATTCCAAAAGCTAAAACAATGCCACTTACTTACAGCTGGATTCCTAATCAGATGAACACAGCTCTGAAATGTCACCAGTCTCATTATTTTCTAAAACTTTGTTTATGAGGGAGCTCTGGTGGCCGAGTCGCAAGAAGCTGCACTGCAGTCCCCAAGGCACACGGCTCAACGCCACCAGCTGCTCCACTGGAGAAGCACGGGCTATCTCTTCCCGAGTGACTAACTGCCTCTGAAAACCCACTGGGGGTCAGCTATGGGTCAGTTCTGACACCACAACAGCAACATATAAAATAATTTTTTTTTTCAGTTATATTGAGTTAAACAAATGATAGCATTATAATGAATTTACCTTATTTTTTTTTTTTTTTGCTTTTTTAATTTGTGTCTCTGAGAGAATTTTAATTGGCTACGTGACTTCACCTGGTAGTCATATTGAATAGCACTTAAGATGCCATCAAGGTGGTTCCCGCTCTCTTCAACTCTATGCTAAACCAAAGGAAAGACAGGGGTATCCTACCCCTCCCTCACAATTCTTGTGTTTACGTTCATTGTTGCAGCCTCGTGTCACCCCATCTCATTAAGTATCTTCGTCTTTTTCACTGATCCTCTACCAAAAGTAATGCACTCCTCCAGAAACCTATGCCTCTTGATACCATCTCCAAAGTATGTGAGATAAAATCTTGCTGCTCTTGTCTCTCAGGAGCACTCTATGCTTCTTCCAAGACAAATGTGTTTTTTCCACACTCCATGCTACGTTTAGTGTTCTTCATTCATTTACAATATCACCATTCGATTGCATCAGTTTCTTGGGTTTCTTTATTTATTCACATGTTTTCACAAGCATTTGAGGCAATTGAAAATATTCCACCTCGGGTCAGGCATACCTAACTCACCAAGTGATATCCTCCTAAAAGTCTTTGAAAGCAAGTTTCTAATAGTTTTGGGTTGGGTTTTTGTTTGTTTGTTTTTTAATGAGAAAATTGAGGCTGAGGGAATGTAAGTGATATATCCCAGATCACTTAAGTAGGAGTGGCAGGATTTGAATTATATCTTTCTGACTCTGGCTTCTATAGATTCTCTGGTTAGAAATAGCTTGTTATAAAGTAGTCAATACATATGAGCTGTGGTGGCCACTTTACCATTGTTCTGCTTTGTGTGAGAGACTCGACCTCTTTGGCCTCCTGTTCCTTCTCTGTGAAATAGAGATCATTCTTGGGGTTACTTTTTTATTACACAAGTATTTATGTGAAGATTTCTACGTACTAAAATGGACCTCTACTTGCAAAGACAGAATGCATGCAACATATCCCGTGATAGTTGTTGTTGTTGTTGTTGTTGTTGTTGTTGTTGTTGTTGTTGTTGTTAAGTGCCATCGAGTTGCAGACTCTCCTATGAAGGAGAGTCCTCGACGCCTGGGTGTCTTTCATTCTCTCTCCAGGTTCATAGCGTTTCCGGAGGCAAACTATTATGGAAGTGGATGCCACTTCTCCTTCCAAATCCCAGATAGTAGCTTTCACATTTTGTTTCATTGTTGGAAAAATATGGTACCCAAAACTTAAGCCATAATGAGTAAAAGTCCAGAGGTGGGAAAGTGCTGGCTGCATGCAAAGAACACAGAGGAGATTGGAGGGGCTACATCCCAATATTTCAAGGAAAAAGTGGCACCAGGCTAGGTCTTTAAGGCCAGATCATTCAGATGAGGTGGTTTTTCTCAATATTGACAGCAATGTGACCCCAGCAGAGATAAGGTCATCGCAAACAACCAACTGAGCTGGAATAGTTTTCGGTCACATACCTCTTCATCATTATGTCTTAAGGATGCTCACTTTAAACCTTTCAGGTCTGGGTTCTTTTCAACTTTCTAATCTCTTCTCAAATGCTCACTCTTTCTTAAGAAGCTTGCCCACAAGTTTGTCACATAAAACTTACTATTTTCTCTTTATAAACCAAACCACATCGGTTGCTGTCGAGTTGATTTTGACTCCTTGTGACCTCATTTGTATAGACTAGAACCATCTAATGGTCCATACAATTTTCAAGACTGTGTGACCTTGTAGAAGCAGATGTCAGGTCTTTGTTTGAAGGTGCCTCTTTATAGCACTTGCTTATTGTATCCCTTCTCAATTAGAGTATGAGTTCCAAGAAAGGACCTGTCATCTTCATCACCTTCTTCCTTGTGCTCGGAATAATGAATGTCCAGCTTAACACCAGCTCTTAATAAATATTCCCTGGACAGTTAAGTGCACTAGCTTTAAATCTCATTAATATTGTAACTGTGCTTCTAGTTGGTACCTTCATTCAGCACTTGGTCTTAGGGGCATTGATAACACATGTCCTGATTATACCTTCAGAGAAACCTGAAATTAGTGGGTTTCAAAATGTTAAAAAAAAAATGCCTACAGAGTTGCCTTATCACTGCCATAAACCTTATGTTTCATTTCGTGACGCACATTGCTGACAAATCAACCCAGTACAGGTCAAACAGCAAGGTAACTTCAAAGCTCAGTTCCCTGTTTACACATCACTGTAGATGGTTAGCACAGGCAGCTCCCTTGTGCCTAGCTGTTTTTGAAAAACAGATTAGCCACTCCAAAGAACTGTGATTATGGGCAGTTTTGGGGCTTGTACTAGCTGTGGGAGTCTCAAATGAGAAGATAGTATGCATTCAAAGGGCAAATGTATTTTCAGAAGTTTTAAGGGAAGAAAGATCCCTTAGTACATCATTACATTACAAAAGCAAGTTGTAAACCACAATATAGAACAGATGTTCATTTTTGCTTACATATAGCCTTGAACTGCATGAGGAAAAGAATGTATTACTTTCTAATTATTAACCTTGACCAATTGAGGGGAGTGGAGAGAATGGAGGGAATGGAATAGCTGTTGTAAAGACTTCTGTCATTTATGTTCATATTATTCAATGTATGATGATAAACATGAAGAAGTTCTGTATTTAAAAAATGAATAGACTATTTTAAAAAAAACAAATAAAAAAGAAACACTATAAGACTTCTGTGCATTAAATACACTGATGGCATAATACAGAACACATGAGCCTACAAAGGAAAATGTTACTTTGAAGGCACCAAATGCTTCTTAGGAAAATGGCTGGTAGTCTCCTCCCACAAATATTTGTAACTTCAGTAACCCAATGGAGAGTGACAACAATTTGGAGTCAACTTGATAGTAGTGAGTTTTTGTACATGTTGGCTTTTTCATCTCGGTTCTGTGCCTCAACTAATCAGCCTGGGTTTAAAAAATCATAAAGTAAAAACTGAACTCACTCCTAAATGAAAATGGTGGTGGTGAATAGTGATACTATTCATCATTAGGACAGTGGACTGACTATAAGACACTTAACTCAATAGATGAAAATCTGTCACCTCATAGGAAGGCAATTCATAGGTCAGGTCTCCCAGGAATCTGTTGACATTGCTTTTCTCAGACTCTGAGGGCCAGCAGGCAGTTTCTGTTATTTGCGGTGGGAGGGCTTTGGTTTACAAAGCCAATAGGTCTTTATAGCAGTGGATTTCTAGAAGTAGTCTGAATGAAAAGTAGTCTGTCTTCTCTCTTGCTGAAATGGAATATGCTTTTCTCCCCACAGAAAAAGCGTACATTGAAGGGTTCCATTGAACTCTCCCGAATCAAATGTGTTGAGATTGTGAAAAGCGACATTATCATCCCATGCCACTATAAATACCCCTTTCAGGTAAGTCCATCAGGCCAAAGAAGGGCAGTGCCTGCCCCCTGAACCGTACTTAAAACCTTTAGTCATTATAAGACAAGGAAGATCCAGAGTTAAAACTGAGACCTAGAAGGAGTCTTCGTGCAGAGGACTCCGGCTCCAGCTGTGGCCACCACATAGTGGATTTCTTTAGCAAATAAAGTTAATTAAGTTCTAAAAAAAGGGGGGGGCTCTGTCATAATAAATAACAGAGGGGGGGCTCTGTCATAATAAATAACAGATTCATTCATTTTAAGTTCAAAATCTTGAAAATGTGTCTTGTTCTCTTTTCCTTCATGTCTTTTCTACCTCACTAAAACCCACGACCGTTAAGTCAATTCAGATCCTCCTAAGACCTGACCACATGAAATAAAGTAGAACTCCCTCATAGGGTTTCCAAAGCTATACAGCCTTTTAAAAAATATTTTAAAACTAAATTTTTATTTTATACTGATTTGCTTACAAAGTTTGCACATGCTGTTTTTCACACCAGCTCTTGCCCATTTGCTTCATCTTTCCCCCATGGAGCAGCTGGTGGGATCGGAAGAACTGACCTATTGGTTAGTAATCAAATACCTTACCACGGTATCACACGAGCACCTTGCTACCTCAAGGAAAGTCCTAACTACTCAGCGGTATAGTCCATAGGGAGCTGTGCTGCTAGCCCACAAGCCACACCTCTCTGGTGATTCAAATCCACCAGTTTTCTGCAGGAGAAAGCTGGGCAACAATCTCCTCTCAGATTTATGGCTTAGAAACCCAATGGAGGGTCAGCTATGAGTCTGCTCCAGTTTCTTTACAATGAGATGAAATGAGGTGGAGAGAAAAAAAAAGCTGTCATCAAGAGACCTAGGCCTGTTGTCCTTCCAGTACTATTTATTACTTGACTTGGAAAAAGACATTTAAATCTTTGGGCTATAAATTGCTTTTCTGGATAGCTAGACTCAAATTTGCAATCTAGGAAACTTCTGAAGCTGCATAGAACTCAGTAGTTTTTACCACCTAAGTAGCTACTTTACTATCAATTAATTAAAATAATATTAAAATTCAGTTCCTCAGTCATAGAAGTTACATTTCACTTACTCTGCAGCCACACATGGAGAGTATTAGAAAAGCCGTGAATACAGAACATACCTCTATAGAAAGCTCTATTGGGCAGAGCTAGGAGACCGTTTTCTTGCAGGATTTAACTCAATCAGCTTATTACTCTTGGCATTTATGGATCTGCACATCCTAGGCATCCTCCTGGTTTGCCAATTTGAGGAATATCAAATATCTCTTTTTAATCTGGCATAGATTGAGAAGGACTGTTTTCCCGTGAGAAAAGTGACTTCATGAATTAAAGGTTTATGACTGAAAAGTAAAGGTATGGCATGCATCTTTCAGTCATTACAAATGAGAATATGGGGCGGGGGGGAAATGGTGAAATGCAAAGGTGTGTAGGTTTGTTAATAGTGTTGCACTCAGGCGAATTTCCTGATCTCTAAGCAGTGCTAGGGTTACATAAGATGTTATCACAGGGGAAATCTAGGTAAAGAGGACACAGGAACATGCTGCCCTATTTTATTTTTTACCTTTTTTTGTGTGTGTGATTTTAAAGTAAATTAAAAATGTGGTTTTTTTTTAAAAAAAGTCTTGCTTGTAAATTTGCAATCTAATAGTTTATTTCCTCGTATACCAGATTTTTTAAAATGACTGATAAACATGAGAAATAAAGATGCTGCATAGTCAAAAAGAAGTTCCTCTTAAGACGTCAAGACAGTGCAACAATGAATGAATGGAATTCCAAAATCTCTGTAGATGTTCATTGAAATGAAAAACAAACTAAATTTAAAAAAAATAGAAGTGAGACACACAAGGAATTCAAAGTAAACTAACAATTTAACAATTAGGCATTTTAAAATAAAAGTAAATCACCCAGAAAAAAAAAAGTCAAGACAGATTTTTAAATATATTGTTTACTGGTGGCACAAATCTGCAAGGAGCAGCCTTATGCTGTAGAAGTTCCCCCTGTATCTACATTGCCCCCATGCAGCTAAGTAAAACTGACAGCGCCCTGGTCACACAGATGTTTGCCTGCATGCTGATAAACTCCTGAGACCCAGCCCACTGCCCAATAACTCAGATGGAAGTGTAGTCACTTACTGATTGCAGGATGTACTGCTCACCTTAATTCTGTACTGTTTCTAGGTTGTGCACGATAACTACCTCCTGTATGTGTTTGCCCCAGACCGAGAGAGCCGTCAGCGCTGGGTTCTGGCCCTTAAAGAAGGTAATAAATAAACTCTTGGTTTTATGAAACCCCTTGAAACCATAATGGGCTTCTGTTCTATGATAGCGTGCATTTGAGGGAAGTTGGTGCTCAAAGAGTCAAACGTGTTGCCGTTTTGGTGGTGTTGGAACGTTTTCCTCTGAGTCCTAGATGCAGCAGATAGTAAATGCAGGAGTTGGTCGTATCTAGTAGGCCTCTTGGTTTTATTTTTTTAATCAAGCTAAAGATAGTTTTTCTATTTTTCATTGATTATGGAAATACCTACATGATATCTTCCATTTTGCCTCTTAGTTGACAAAGCCTAAAATATTTGCTAGCTAGACCTTTAAGAAAAAGCTTGACAAATTCTGTTAGAGCTTGTTCCATGAGAGAAAAGTACAGTCTCAGAAACCCTGAAGGGTGGTTATGAATAGAAGTCAAGTTGATGGCAATGAGTTTGATCAGGTTTTGCTGCAGAGTGTAGATAGGACCTAGGTCCTGGGGTTAGCGAAGCTTATTTTAATGCGGCCATTTAGTCATGTGTATTTGGGGAAGTTCCTTAACTATCCAGAGCTTCAATTTCCACATTATAAAAAAACAAAGAGCCAGGGGAATTGAGGAGAGGGCAAGAATCTACAGATAGAGTTCTTAGAATGAGTCAGACCTGTATTCAGTACTCTGTAAATGTTAGCTCACTTGAAAGGTTTTCAGGTCAAAAAGTGGAGGACTTAAGTACACGAGATCGGGGCCAGGTGGCTCAGATAAAAATCCCAGCCCTTCCAATCATGAAGTGTGTGACCCTTGCATATTCCTTGACCTTTCTACTTCTCCATTTCCTAAAATTATGACTAAAATCTTCCCTTTTGGTGTTAGTGGAAGGTCCCAAATTTTCCCCTATCACTATCAAATAGTATAGGAGTCAGCCAAATCCATCCACTATCTTTTTGAATAAGTCTCAAAACTGGGAAGGGCTACTATATGTTTACATGATTATATCTTAAATTGTTATATAAATATGTATGGCTATTTTGAGAATTAAATGAGTCAATACATACAAGGCACTTAGAACAGTACTCACCCTCAGAAAGTTTTCAATTAATATTACTGTTAACTCTGCTTACACTGGATTTCCAAGAGAAAGGGATCCAAATATTTAACTGTATCTACATCATGCTCAGAAGAGTGGAGGAACAGCAAAGGAACACAAGACCCCGGATGAGATGGATTGATACAGTGACTAGGGCAATGGGGATAGTGTGTCGGAGTCAGTGAGACTGGCTCAGGATAGAGTAGGCTTCAGAGCTGCAGTAACATAGGGTCACTATGAGTCTCAGGTAACTCGACTAGCACATAACAACAACTCAATGGTAGTTAACACCATCAAAGTGAATGGATAGGAATCAAAGCAAGCCTTATGAAATCTCTGGAGCAAAAATACTCTATTGGTGGGGAGGGGAGTGACTATGAGAACCTGAGTTCATTTCTTGTAAATTTGTCTCAAATGAGATCCTGCCAGGCAATGATGGACAAGCTAGAAGGTGCTCTCACATGTAGGAGAAGCCACACAGCGTAGAACAAACACATTGAAGTGAAGAGCAGTCAATGATAGAGGATAGTTGTCCAACCAGGACAGGTAACCTCCCCCCCTAACTGCCTTAACTGCTTTCCCTGTATGCAGTGCCTTTACTCATACAATTCTAAAGATGGAAAAGGTATTAGAAATTAGCTATTTAGTTACATGGACCTCACCTGGCTTTTCTTTTTCACCCTTCCCCTTATCAACCCCACCAAATTCTGACTTAAAAGCCAAGAATCTAGAAGAGGTTCCAGTTCCTACAGTTGAAGGTGGAAGAGATCAGGTGCCACGATCCCACTGACTTGACTCTTAATTATACTGAGGCTTTTTTGTGGAGTCCACTGGTCCATTATAAAATCCTCATGGCACAGTGGAGAAACTGAGGCTCAGGGGAGGACTTGCCTACAAACAGCTTCTCAAGAGAGATGGGCAGTCTCCTCCCATGTGATTTACAGCTTCTGAAGACCTTCTGGATGGTCAGCTATGAGTCAGCTCCCCTCAATGGCAATGAGAGGGATTGTGTGGGTTTTCCTTAGAGAACATCCAATCAATGTTACCCAAACCCAGATCTGCTAATGTCTAATTCCAACACACATGCCTCAATAACTAGCACAACGAATGTAGGTACCAGGTAAAAATTCTTGACCAGGCTTACTCAACAGGGTCATTCCCAAGGCTTGTGCCTTGATAGACTAACCAAAAACCAATTCTTCTTATGGTACCAACTCCTTTCAGAAACAAGGAACAACAACAGTTTGGTGTCCAAGTATCATCCTAATTTCTGGATAGATGGGAGGTGGAGGTGCTGTGCCCAGATGGAGAAGCTTGCAGCAGGTTGTGCCGAGTATGACCCAACCAAGGATGGTAAGAGGCTGGAGAAGCCCCTTTATTCTCTTTGTAAATAAGACCTCTGTGCTCTTAGGTAAGAAAGGCTCTCTGGAGTGTCAAGGATGGAATATAAATGTCTGGGTTTTTCACAATTTTTAAAGGGGAATCATCTCTTTCTACCAAGTTTGCTGGGTTCCCCACTCCATCTCAATGCTGATGTCTTTCTAGCTTCTTGCTACTTGAAATGTGGTCCTTAGACAAGCAACGTAAACATGACCTGAGAGCCAGTCAGAAGTGCGTATTCTCTGCCCTCGCCTTACTAGACTGGAGTTTAAATTCTCACAAAATGCCTAAGAGATTTGTGTATACACTGAAGTTTGAGAAGCACTGCTAATTCTTCATGTTAGGAAATGTGAATGGCTTTATTGAAAAATTGTTATTAGCTGCCATCAAATAAGCTGGGACTTGTGACATCTGCTTGCATAACAAACGAAACAGTGCCCAGCCAGTCTTATACTTCTTCACGAGCTCTGGTGGCTTTGTAGTGAGGAGTTGCACTGCAAAGGTATATAGTTCAAACCCACCAGTTACTCCATGGGAAAAAACGGAGTTATCTCCTCTTGTGCAAAATATAGCCTCTGAAAATCCACTAGAGGGTTAGCTATGAGTCGACTTTCTCTCAGCAGGGACGTAACAATAATGACATACCTCTACAAATGTTGTAGTGTGCTCAAGTCCTTCATTGTAGGCAATGTGTATTTTGAGTGCCTTCCTACTTAAGAAGGATCATCTTCTAGCACTATATTGGATAGTATTATCTTGTGATCTATAAAATTTTCATGGTCAGACTTTTCTCAGAGTAGATTGCCAGGCCTTTCTTTCTTTGTGTGTTTTAGTCTGAAAACTGCTAAACCTTGCCCACTGGAACCCTGTTAGCCTTTGAAAGATTGGTGGAAGAGCTTCTATCATCATAGCACCATGCAAATCACCATTGGACAACAAGCTGGCAGATGTGTGGTAGACTTAAGTATTAGAGATAGCCTTTATGGCTACATAGTGCAATTTAATATCACTGATATTACATTATTTGTCTGTTGAATTACTTACATTCAGGTCTTTATATTTAGAGTGGGGTGAGATAAAAAAAAGCAAAACAAAACAAAAAAACCCACCTTATTTTATCCAATGACTTTTTCCTGCCTCTCTTTCAAACTTACCCTTGACCCCCACAGTCTCAGGCAAAGGGAAAGTCACAATCTACAAAGTGAAAGCAAAAGCTAGGAATCTAACAACTCAATTTTAACATGTGTGCTGAATTTTAAACCCTAATCCTCCAGCAAGATTCAGCCCCACTATGTACACTGCACTTTAGCACGCAGTACACTCTCATAGGAGATGGTGTGGTGTCAGGAAGCAGGCCAGGTAGCAGGCCAGTTAGCCCAAGGTCGCCTAACGTCCTTTGGGGAATAGAAATGACAGCCCTTGTGGATTTCTGTGCTTGTGCTCATTCTCCCTTCAACCTCTCTAACCCAAGTGACCCTTTCTCTTCTGTCATTTTTTTTTTCTATTGCACTAAAACCCCAATATCTCCACTTGACAACCCTAGGCGGATGTGCTAAATGTAACACTTGGCCTGGTTTTCCGTGGTTTCCTGAATCATAGCTATCCTCAGTAACACTAAAAAACCACCACTTCTCACCTTCCACATTGGGAGAGAGAGCCATTCAAGGTTACCATTCAAGGTTACCTTGAACCAGAAGAATATTTGTCAAAAGGTAAACCTTCCTGGCATTAACACTGTTGGCTATGCCTTCCTTTTGAAGCCTAGCCTTTAATGAAAAAGAAATGGAAAGTTTTCTAACGGTGGGATTCCCTAAATTAATAAATTAGTATGGCATTTTCAGTGAGTGGAGAAACTCTTTCTAAGAGATCTTGTCTTCACATTCCTGCCAGCATTTTGCTGCTGATGGCGCTAAAACCCTCATCTCTAAAATAGAAAGGGAGGTTTTAGGAGGCCAGGCATTAGTAATCTCTACATTCCCTCTCAGTTCTGAAAATGTTTGGATCTGTGTTTTCATCTTACCCTTTTCACCATTCATATTGTGGCAATTTCTAAGGTAGGCAGTATTTCCCCACACTGAGTGGTGGAACACATGGCCAAGGTGTTAAGAGCAACTGAATGACTCAGTAGAACTACTCACGGCGCAGGCAGGAAGCTGGTCATGTTGGACTTTTCCAATGTAAATCTGGGGCCTAACTATTCAAGGTCACTTCTTGGGGTGCACTGTGCATTCACTCAGTTAATCCACGCATGACACGGCTTACTCTAGGAATTGTTTACTCAAGTCAGTATCCACTCCTGCCTTTATTTATAGAGTTCTCTGAGAAGCTGGGCTGCCATTTTCTCCTCTGAATATTTTGCCTCTCTGCTTTCCTTGCAATTGCTTAAATAGTGCCATGCACTACAATTCTGGCAGCATTTAGAGCGGAGCTTTGAGAAGCATTCTCTGCTGTGAGGACCTGATCTCCTCCTCTGGGTGAAAATCTTTGGGATTCCTACTGTTAGGTTCATGCACAATAATAGAATGTCTAGGAGCATAAGGGCTGCAGGTGAAACCATCAGAATCCTAACCTCATCACTTGCTTTTTCTTTGACTTCATATATGTTATATAACATCTCTGAGGGTTTTGTTGTTGTTTATTAGTTTGCTCACAAAGCTTGTATGCATTTTGTTTCACACTCGTTTTCATTCGTTCTTTTATTTCATACAATCATTTCCACACATTATGTTTTATAAAATCAATCACCATTCGACCTTGCTCATCAAGGTAGTGTTTTTGTCTATAAATTGACAATAATTGTAAGTAATTATTTCAAGAAGTTTTTAGTAGATCCAGCTGATTTATGGAATGCTCGCAACACAACATTTAATGTGCTCTCAGTAAACGGTAATTGTGTCTCCTCAACTTATCTGTGGACAGGAGAATCTGAGGTTCAAATGTAGTGCTAGTTCTACAAGGGTGTGTGTGTAGATGGATAAGTGGTTTGGGAAGAAGAGATGGTTAAATAAAAATGGTCCATACTCTACCTAACCCACAGCGATACTCATTTTTCTGTGGTGAGAGCTGACCCTGAATATCACCATGTAGTAACATCACACAGAAAGAGAGAAGGAAGGGAAGAGCAAGGCTAACATGCAGTCACAGAATGTTCAGAGTTGGAAGAGACCCAAGACACAGCTTGCATGTGGGGACCTGGGATCAGAACACAAGTCTCCTGCTCCATGCTGAATTCTGAATAGGAACCACACTTTCAATTATGTTTCTTTCCCTTCCCACTCTTTTCTTTATTAACTGCATACTCAAGCCAGTGTCCCCACTTGTTCTTGCTTAAGGAGCTGCCACAGAGGCTGGATTCCTGGAGAATTTCTGCCATATTGTAACATAGAGCTGCCTAAATTTAATTTAACTATGTGCCAAAACAAAGACCCCTACAAAGACCTATATTTGCAGACCATCTCCTTATTACCCCTAATTTTTTTTTATTGTTTGAGTGGAAGTTTACAAAGCAAATTGGTTTTCCATTCAATCATTCCTAGACCACGAGGCTGTTGTGCGAACAGAACAGAAGAGCACTATATAGTTTAGAATTGGGAAGGGAGTGTTCCAGGGTTGTATTCTCTCTCCATACCTACTTAAAGTGTATGCTGAGCACATTATCAGAGAAGCTGGACTCTGTGAAGAGGAGTGTGGCGTCAAGATTGGAGGGAGACTCATCAATAACCTGTGTTATGCAGGTGACACAACCTTGCTTGCTAACAGTGAAGAGGACTTGGAGCACTTGTGGCAGAGGATAAAGGGACACAGTCTTTGGTATGGATTGCATCATCCCAATGTTAAGAAAACAAAGATTCTTACCACTGGACTGATAAGCAGCATCATGATGAATGCAGAGGAGATTGAAGCTGTCAACAGCTTCATCTTGCTTGTATCCACATTTTACACCCTTGGGACCAGCAGTGAAGAAATAAGGAGAAACACTGCACTGGGAAAACCTGAAGTTAGAGACATCTCCAAATTATTGACATCAAACTGATGACAGTTTGAGGACTAAGGTGTGTCTGATTCAGGCCATAGTCTTTCCGATTACTTGCTATATGCATCTGAGAGCTGGACAGTGAATAAGGGTAACAGGAAAAGATTTGATACTTTCAGGCTCTGGTGTTGGAGAAGAGCACTGCACATCTCATGGATGGCCAAGAGAACAAACTGCAGCCAGAGTGTTCTTTGGAGGCAAGAATAATGAGGCTTCACTTCATATACTTTGGGCATGTTGCTAGGAGGGGCTAATCCTTGGAGAAGGAGATAATGCTGAGAAGGGTAGGGGGAATGCTGAGAAGGGTAGGGGTTGGCAAAGGAGAGGAAGACCCTCAATCAGTTGGATTGATATGGTGACTGCTGCAATGGGCTCTTGTGTGTCAAAAAGTATGAGAACAGTGCAGGATAGAACAGGGTTCAGTTCTTACGTTCATAGGGTCTCTGTGAGTCAGTCTCGACTCGACAGCACCTAACAACAACAACAACCTCTAATTTTCATTTCCATTAATCTTTCTATACAAGCTCTTCCTGCCATTCAGGCTCTATCCTTAGGTGAATGCTGTTCTTTTTACCTTATATTGTTGATTATTCTGAAGAGTGAGATATGCCCTGGTATTACTGGTCACCTTATAGGCCTGCCTATTACTTGACTAAAAGTTTAGCCACGAGAGTTGGCTTTTGTGGTGTTAGACTAAAAGTTGGTTTGGTTTTTAAAAGCCATTTAGTCTTAACTGTAGATACATGGTCTTGCAAACTAGCATGGTTTTGCAGATCAGCATCAGCTGTGGGATAAGAGAAAGAATGTTTCCCACACTGAGCAGTAAGACTTGAGAAAAACTTAAAGCAAGACCTGAGGCGAGCAAGGCTTGCGGAGGTGAGGCCCTGGTGGGAGAGACTGGCAATGCTGTGGCAAAATATGAGGCTTCTCGCATATGTGCTGGCCCCAGTTAAAGGTTTGACTATTCTTTCTGGATGCTTGAAGGAGAAGCTGCCTTGTCACTGCTCTGAGGCAATCTTTGTTGGATGATTTGGGTTTGACTGGTGAACTGAAACCAGAGTCTGGACTAATTGAGAAATTGTGTCTTGGGACTCTTGGGATAAAACTTGGATTTGCATTGGGTGGCAATCTTTGTCTTCCCTACTCTCCAACTTTCTTCCCTAATAAAACCCCATTGTTGGTACCATAACTGTGAGTTTGTGAGTCAGAAACGAATAAACAAACCCCTCTGCATATTCTGTGGCTCTAGAGGCACCATGCGGCTGGGCTGTGGGATCTTTATCTTCTTTCTGCTCCAGGATGGACAGTGAGGGGCCTTGTTATTCCTACTCACTCTGGCCCTTTCAGAGGGATGCTCATGGCCCCAAGCTTCAATGTTCATTTTCTCCTCTTTAGACAGTTGAGGTTTTTTAAAAAGGATGACAAATGGTCCACCAGTCTCTATCAGAGCAATAAACCTGATATTTTTATGGTTTTGCACTAATTATTAAAAAAAATCTCTTAGTCAAAACCTGTGCACTACCTCCTGGACCCAATAGCATACAACATTGGTCTATTGATTCCAGCCTTATACTTTGCAGTGCTACAAAGGAAAAACAATGAGACAGAGGAAGAAATGAAATGAAGGAGAGAGTAAAGGAAGAAAAGGAAAGAAAAGGTCACAAAATAAAAGCAAAAGAGGGATGAATATAAGGAAAGATAGGCAAGTGGTGAGAAATGGAGACACAATGGAGATAAAAAGATAGAGGAAGATAGAGAATTTTGTTTGGGGGAGGCAACAGAGACACCTCTTCATATGCCTAAGGCAACTAAAAATGGATTTCACCCTCTCAAAAAGCAGAGCGATGACCTCCCACCTCTTCCACCTCCTCCTCAAGCCATAACAGCATCAGGAAGTCCATGAGTCACTATGCCCTTGAGTCACTGATTCACACACTCAGGTTTAGCAGATGCCAACAACCTTTATGAAAGTCTCCGGGTCTGTGGGGAAGGGTGTGAGCCTAGGTCTTCTGTAAGTTCTTTGAGTTTAGGTTTTTCCTGGGGATAAAGAAAGTGAACGCCTAAAAGAGTGACTTCTGGAATTTTCCTATCTCAGCCAGAAAAAAGGACCAGGAACCAGTAAGATCTGAAAAGATGGGGTGATAGTGGGCATAGATGGTAATTAATTTTATAAAACAAAATGATGGGAATATTAATATGAAACACAATGTGAATGAAAGAATGTGTGAAACACAATGTATACAAATTTTATATGCATGCTAATATAAAATTAAAATAACTTTTTAAAACAGAACTAACATGCAGATTGTAACAATTCAGACTTTGGTTTCTTTGTGCTTCAACATCTCTTTCTGATCCTTTTTCCTGTGTTCTTCTTGGGGCCCCTTTTCTGTGAAAAGCCCCCTGACTGCTCATCTCCGGTGAGGTTCACTTAGTTTCATGCTCATTTTTCTTTTTCTGTTTTTCTTGTTTCAGCTTCAAAGAAGCCTCTTCCTCCTACTCCTGAAGACAACAGGGTGAGTGAACTCTTAATCTCCACACTCAGATGAGCCCTCAGTGCTGCAGGCTGATCAACTAGTGTGTTCGCATTTGAATTTCTTCTCTACTGCAGTATCCTTAGGGAAGTTCTGGTGCCATAGAGTTAGTTCTTAAGGAGTTGTGCTGCTAACTCAAAGATCCCCTCTCTCTGAAGTTTCAATCCAGCAGCACCAAGGGAGTAAAATGGGCATTATCCTCCCATGCAAGTCTCCTCCCGTCCCAGCCTAGAAACCCAATGGAGAGTCAGCTATGAGTCGGTTCTGACTCAACAGCAATGATAAGGAAAGAAATATCCCTTAGAGCTTTAGTGAATATAGGGTGTAGTCATGACTTAGTTGAACTCAACACATTGGGTTTTTGGGGGGCTAAATAGTCTCATGAGTTTGTCTGTGTAAAAAAGATCAGTCAGATACTAATTCTCCATCTCATTTTATTTCACTCAACAAAGACCTGTTGATATCAAGCTATGTGTCCGGACACATGACTACTGTAGGGTATGAAAACAACTTGTGTCTATAATAGTTACATATATACTTGATGCCATGACATATAAGCCATATTGAAGGCTTAAGTTTGATAATACTCAACATTTTTAAGACACTTCTACCTTTATGATCTAATACAGGACTCTTTGTTGTGTCCTCTTCAAAGAGTTATAGGGTTTTTGTTTGTTTGGTTTGGTTTTCTTACTTGTTTTGTTCTAGTTTGTTCACAAAGTTCAAATACATTATTTCCATGCCAGATCTTTTGCGTTTCCTTCATCCACCCACCCCAACTCATCAAATTGTAATGACCCTATGATTAACACCACCACTCCCAACCACCCTCACTCCTCTGTGTCCACTCTCCCTCCCTCGGATCCTCATGCTTATTCTACAATAATGGTTTTATACAATATTTGTCCTTGTGGGACTGAGTTAGTTCACTCAGCATAATGCTCTCCAGTCCCTTCCAAGTTGGGTAATAATTTACAAAATCATTGCTCCTGCATGCTGCATAGTATTCCACTGTGTGAATGTACCATGATTTCCCAATCCATTTAATTGTGGTTGGACATCTGGGCTGATTGCATGTTCTTGTGATGAATAACGTGACTATGAACATCAGTGTACAAATCTCTATTTGTGCCTCAGTTCTCATTTTCTCAGGTTATATTCCAAGCAGTAGAATAGCTGGGTCATATGGAATTTCTATGTTCAGCTTGTTGAAGAAGTGCCAAACTGACTTCCAGAGTGATTGTACCATTGTATAATCCCAACAACAACATATAAGAGTTCCTATCTCACTGCATCCTCTCCAACATTTATTGCTTACTGTCATATTGAACTATGACACTGCTACTGGGGTGAAATGGTATTTCATTGTAGTTTTGATCTGCATCTCTCTTATTGTCAGTGATTTGGAGCATTTCTTCATGTGTCTGTTGGCCACTTGAATATATTCCTCTGTGAAAATTCTTTCTATTCCTTTTGCCCATTTTGTAATTGGGTCATCCGTCTTTTTCTTGTGGAGGCCCAGGACTATTCTGTAAACTTTTATTCCGAGACTATTGTCTGAGATGGCATTGACAAATGTTTGTTCCCAATTGGTTAGGGGTTTTTTTCACCATGTTGGGAAAAAGGTTTTGATGTGTACAGGTATCCAATCTTTAGAGGATCCCATTCATCACTTTCATCCTCTTCATATTGTGCTTTTCTGCCTGTACTTGGCAGTCTTCCCATATCATAGATTAGGCCTTCCAAACTTGATCCCAGTTTGTCTCTTATGAACCTCATGGTTTGGTGCTTTGCTCCCAAGTCTCTGATTCACCTTGAGCTGACCTCTGTGTATAGTATGAGATGTGGATCCCATTTCAGCTTTCTGCAAGTAGCACTCAGTTTCGCTAGCACCATTTGTTGAAGAGGTTGTCATTCTCCCATTTGATAGGTCCTATTTCCTTGTTGGATATCAGTTGACCCTAGATATCTGGCCCTATTTTGGGGTTCTCGATTCTGTTCCATTGGTCAGTGTGCCCATCATTGTACCAGATCCATGCTGTTTTGGTTACTACCACTGTATAGTAGGTTTTGAAGTCAGGGAATGCTATGCCTCCCACTTCATTTTTGTTCTCAGAAGTGTTGTGCTAATTCAGGGTCAAAGAGTTCTAGTTTTATTCTTAAAATTTAGGAAATGAAATTTCAAGAAAAGTTTTAAGATTTGTTCATGGCCATCAACAACTTAGCTATAAAAAAATAGGATACAGAATATCTGGTATGGGGGTCTTCCACACTAGTGGTGCTTCTCAAACTTTTGTCTTTGGCCAACAGAATTAGTATCAGCTGGAAGTTTCTTGGAATAAAAATTCTCAGTCCTGACCCCAGATTCATTGTTCTCAAAACTCTAAGGATTTGTGTTTCAATAAACCTCCAGATGATTCTGAAGCACACTCAAGTTTGAGAACCATTGCCCTAGGATAGACTGACTCCCATCAAGTAGATGATATCAAACTTACTCTTAAAAAACTTATTCTTCCAGTGAATGGTCAGCCTTTACTCTTTTTGGCACCAGTATCCCCATCTGTGTTGAGCAGTGGCTATGGGAGAAATTTCAACTCATGATGATGCCATGTATGTCAGTTGAACATTATCCCATAAATCTCTGCCTCCCACCACCACCATCACCATTACCACTGGCTGAATTTTCAGAAGTAGACCATCAAACTTTTCTTCAAAGTTAACCTCATAATGGTTTCAAACTTCCAAACTCTTTGTTAACAATTGAAACTTTAACCACTTGCATCACCCAGGGACTCCTCAAGTTTAAGTTGTTGTTGTTGTGTGCCATCAAGTCAACTACAACTCATAGAGACCCTATGAACAGTAACTTTGAACCCTGCCCAAATTGTGCCAATCTCACTGTCTCTGACATATCTACTCCCATTGCCACAGTCATTGTGTGAATCCATCTCATCCAGGATCTTCCTTTTCTGTGCTGATCTCTACGTGATGTCCTTTTCCAAGGACTGATTCCTCCTAACAGCATGCCCAAACTTTGGTTCCAGAAACAACTGATTCTGTCTATTCATGCTTCTTCCAGAAGGAAGAAGATAAGCTTTACTTTTTGTCCCTTCTAGCCAAGAAGGTGACATTTCATTTCTGTCAGTTTCCACATGCAAATAGGCTCTGAATCCTTAACACCTCTGATGGGTTTTTATAGCTGTGATCAGCCTACTCCTCAACAACAGGAAAGAAGCTCACATAAACTGTAACAGAATATGAGCTCTCTTTTCTCATCTTTCACTGAGCCTCTAAAGAGCACTTCCCCGCCTTCCTTGAACACATGATTTGTATCTCATGACCAAGTCCCACCTAAAATCCACATCTCTGTATCTTTACCTCGTCTATACTCATCTTATTTTCAGCACAGATTAAGGGGAAAGAAAAAAAAAATGTTGTCAGTCTGTTTTTCCCCAGCCCACGTCATTTGGCTTTTCAGACTTCTTAAAGGAGCAATGTTGATACTGTTTTGAGAGTTCTGACCACAGGGGTTTTGGAATAGTTGTTTTGGTTTCAACCACACATTCACTTCAACTTTTCTCTTACTTTGAGCAACTAGAGTTCATTTCTTTCTTCACTGAAATAGGAGCAACAGCAACATAGGCATGATCAAGTCTGACTTCTAACTCCACAACTGTCCCCATCAATAACATCTGTGATACCAAACTAATAACTACAAGGTCAGATATGAACCTCCTCACTACTGCACCTAATTCCAGTAATTACTGGGTTTGAATATTTGTTGAAATGACTACACAGACTTTACTTGATTCACAGTTGTGGGATTTATTAGGGAAACAGATTGGAGAGAGTGACAGGAAGCAAAGGTGAAAGTCAAGCAACACAAATGTAAGAAGTGTCTGATTTCCTCAATTGTCCAGCAAATGTCCTCTCATAGCAGTCCCAAGCCAGCTTCCCTTCAGCTGTACAGCAAGTAAAATGTTTGACTTTGGCTCCATCTCAAGAGCTCTGTCAGGCTATCCCTTGCCATCATCTCACTACAGTCTGCTTAGCTCTCTGTCTCTCTTATGTTGCTCTCAGTTATTGGTAATGTAGGCAAGTCACCTCCCCATAGGACAGCTGAATTGGACTAGAAACATGCCCCAGAGAGCAATAGCAAGGTCAAAGGACAATGGTCTAGAGAAACCTAATTTGGAGTCAACTATAGCACATTCACCTTTTTCTTCTGTCCACTAAGTGGTAATAGCATCTTGGATTGGCTTATAGAAATGTTTGGTTTGGTTTGTAATCCAAAATCTAAGCTAACAAAAGGTTACCATTCTATTACAGAAAATTACATAGGGTCAGTCTACCAAAGGGTAACGGTGGATTTTTGTTGCTGTTGGTCAAGATGGAAGTTGTATATGAGCAATGTAACTAACACTTTCAGGCCTCCAGCCTGAGGTACAGACAAAATCATGTGCACATTAAAGGCCACATTATAATTCTCCTCTGCCTTAAGCTCCTTCGTCAATGTTTGTCTCAACCTTGGCCTCCTGAGGGGCCGCTCAGGAACAGACACACCTGTGTCCTTTCTCCCTGCCTTCCTGTTAAGACACCCTATTCCATTCACTAGCACTAGAACTCACTGGGGGAAACATCTCTCACTGCAAGAGTGCTCTCCCCAGCCAAGGTGGGGACAAGCCCTTGGAGACTAAGGTAAAGGAGCTTCTTCAAGACAGACCTGTAATTCACCCCTTTCTCCCCTTACCACTGGGCCCCACTCACCATTCTTGAGGTCAAAGCTTCATAGTATCCCCAACTTATTTTCATCTTCTTACTCTAATTTACCTATTCTCAAACGTATCGGGCCCAGTGCCCCCTTTTATAACAAATATGTTTTAATCCTCTTTATTATCTTAGAAAGAATCCATAAATAGTGGAATAATGACTTGCCTAAATATCTAATTTTTATAAACCAATGAATGTATTATTTGTTATTATAAAAAAATTATACCAAGCACTCAAAACCAAATGAAAGGCATGCCATGCCCATCTCTATGGGCCTTTCATAGTGTACCCATGCCAGATAAACTGCAGCCTCTAACCATTGCCTAGCCTCCTTTCTCGTGGGCTGTGAGCACTGACAAGGGCTATATACTGAGAAAAATATGAAATAATATATAATTCCATAAATAGTAATTATTCTACTGGAATACATCATTAAATAGTCAATTACCTGCACCTGTAATTATCCTTCCTGTAAATTTTCCCCACTCAAATAAGGAATGACACAAAAATGACCTATCATTGACTCACAGTATTACCATGCTTTTGTAGATGAACTATGCTTAATAGCATTCAGTAACTAAGCCGAAGTAACCAAAACTTTAGTACACTGGACCAAAGGTAATCTTCCTTCAAAATAAAGTTCCGTTATATTCCAGAGAAACCCAGTACTTTGTATAGTGTAGAGACAGAATCTAAGCTCAGGTTATAATTCATAAAAGCAGTAGGTTTTAACCACATGAACATCTAACAGGAAAGCTCCCCAGGTAGCATGTATGGTTTGTGTTCCTCTGCTAACTATAAGGTTGGTAGATTGAATCCACCTAGCAGTGTTGTAAAGGATAGACCTGATAGCCTACTTCCAAACATTCACAGCCATTGAAAACCCTGTAGGGTTCAGTTCTACTTTGAAACATATAGGGTTGCTTATGAGTAGGAATCAGCTTGATGGTAATGAGTTTTGTTATCATTTCAATCAAACAGTGTATTTTTATGCTGTATCTGATAACACTGCAGAGTGTTTTGTATTTCTGATCATCATCCACTAAATTTCAGTAGCACCCCTCAATACTAATGATATTCACAAAACTCCCAAAGATATTCTGAATATCCCCTGTGGTATGATACCACCATGACATGATTTTTAGCAGGATTAACTAGTTGAGATAAATATTAAGCCATGTCCTTCCTTTACGTTCTTCAAATGTCCTAAAGTGTAGCTCTTCCTTCCATTAGCTCTTAAAACAAAAGCCACAGAGATACCGGCTAATGTCTATAGGTACCCAAGATACCATTACCTCACAGGCTCCACAAATATCTGGACTTCAAATTCCAATGTAGGCTCAGCTGCAAGGAGATAATATATTAGTATGCCAAGTGTTGCCATTTTTAGCTTCATTATTTTTGTGCTGTCAAATGCTGCAATATGCAGGTTTCTCCATTATCCAAAACTGGAGCATTCCTGTAAGCTGAAATGACATTAAGCAAAAGAACAATTGTTCTTAATTTATATGAAAAATAATTTTGTGCTTCCAAAAATAACCTACTAAATCACACCAGATAACACATAAAATCTAAAATAATATTAGCCTATAGTACACACAGATGCAGCTCAAACTGTAGTGTGTTGCTGTTGAGATGCTGAATGTAGTTCCAGGGAAAAGAGCTTGGAGACACTATTCTCACTACTAGGAGTAGATGCTTTCTTTCACAAAATAAATGCTGAGCACTAGTTTAACTTTTTTTTTTTCATAAAAGTGAAAATATTGTTTGGATTTCTTTCAGTCCACAAATACAAATTTTTCACAAAAACAAGGCAGCCTACAGCCAGATTTAGAAAAGCAGAGGATATCCATACTCAGAAAACTGTAATTTCTCCAAAACTAAATCACATTTCTCAACCAGATGAGATGATGCAGTAATTGCAGCAATGGGCTCAAGTGTGTCAGAGATGTTGCGGATGTCACAAGATAGATCAGGGCTCAGATCTGTTACTTGTAGGATCACTATGAGTTGTACATGACTCTACAGCACCTAACAACAACAAATGACTTTTTAGTCAGTAATCTCAGTCTCTTCCCATATTTGTTCTTTAAAAAACAGGCCATCCTTTTGTGAGGCTTATTCCAAACTCTTGTGATTATTGACTTTCCTGTCCCTTCTCAGGTCCTCAATATCTCTCTTATCCTAAGGAAGAATAGATTTGGTCAGAAGAAAGCCCACAGGAGTGAAACCGACCTGTGGGTTCACACGTGTTCTAGAGTGGGACCTGTGCGGATTAAAAGAGGGACAGGGGCACGAGAGAGGGAGGCCAGACAAAGTTCTCTGATCAAGCCCAAGTTTATTTGAAGAATTCTGCAATAAATAGGCAGCTGAGGAGGCCGGGCTGCCAGGGAACCCAGCCCTAGACTATCAGTTTACAATAGAGAGGGAGGGGCATGCCCCAAGGTGTTGATTTACAGGTAAAGAGGTAGGTGTAACCAGAGATGGACAGGGTGGCGGCTGCATGTCAGAAGTGTTATCTGTAGCAGAGTTAAGATCTACTCAGGATGGCTTCCTACACAGGAGAAAAGGAGGAAGATCATGTACTTTTGTAGAGAATACATTAAGATTAATTTGAGCTCTAAATTTGCTTACATTCATTTCCCCTTCTTTGCTTTGATTTCCTCTTTCAAAAGTGAAAGAATCTGATAAATGATCTCTCAGAGGCTTCCTAACCCTGATAGTCTAGATATGTTGACCTGGACAACTCACAAATCAAATCAGCAAAGCATCAACTGCATGATTTATCTCTGACCACACCACCTTCCCCCAGAACATGAGACTTCTGGAGAGAGTTTGCAATACACAGTGTAGTCCGTGTAGAGAAACCAGTAGATGATTGTACAAAGCGTGTAACTGGCTGGAATTCACTGTGGTCAGAGAGATGATGAATTCTAGCTCCTTCTGGTGTTTGGCTCTGACTCATAAAGAAAGCCAGCTAGAAGGTAAATTACTTGTGTGCAAATGCAAGTGGATTATAGGAACTGGGGCATTGATCTGGCATAGATCAGGAACAAGTAACAACTCAAGGATTTGCTAACCTTGTTCAGCATTTTAGGTCCTTTTGTATTATTTGTTGATTTTGTTGTCTCTCTCACCCAGCGGTCACTTCAAGAACCTGATGAAACCTTGGTCATTGCCTTGTATGACTACCAAACAAACGATCCACAAGAACTCACACTTCGACGCAATGAAGAATACTACCTGCTGGACAGCTCTGAGATTCACTGGTGGAGAGTTCAGGACAGGAATGGGTAAGATACTCCTGTGGTTACCATGGAGTCTCCGGGTGGAGCCAATAGCTAATGCACTCAAATTGCTAGCAGGAAAGGTGGAGGTTCAAGTCCAGCCAGAGGCACCTTGAAAACAAAGGCTGGATATCGACTTCTGAAAAAAATCATTCATTAAAAACTTTGCAGACACAGTCCTACTCTAACAAATATGGGTTACTATGAGTCAGAGTCACCTTGATGGCAACTGGTGCTAGCTCTTCCATGGTTTGAGACAGCAGGTGCTAACTATTCTAGTGTTTGAGATACAGTAGGAACAAAGAAAATACTGGAATGACAAGCCCTTCTCTTAGTTTGACCATTACACTGAGTCAGAAGAGAGCAGAGGTGGGAGGAAGAGGAAGTCTCTGAGGGGAGTTTTTCCTCTTCTCAGAAGTGGCTGGAAGAGAATCCCTTGCTATGCTTGCTATCTATCCCTCCATATCAGATACTCTTATCTAAAAGTCCCCTGGGTTTTCCCACTGAGATCCACAGTTTTGGGGGAATGGCAACTTTCCCCCCCCTGCGTTATTATTTTGGAGAGTTTAATTGAGGATGAAAGTAGTATCACATTGTGAAGAGCTTAATTGTGGTGGGAAGAAAGGCATGTAGACATGGAAGAGACTAAATATATTTTAAAAGATCCAAAAGAAGACAGCTAGCTTTATTTAGAATCACAGTTCTTGAGCTTGCCATTCAAATTGTACCTGGAGAAAGAAGAGTTATGCAAATACTGACTGACCACTGTAAAATCTTGGGATCAAAAAAATCATGTACTGATCTGAAATAAATACAAAACAATACTGTTACTACCGTTCCGAAGGCTCTGAGATGTATAGGATTTTTATACTGATGCCTAACTAAAGTACAACAGACTCATGATATATACAGCTCCCTTTAATGTAGCAGAGAGATGTATCCATACTCTGAAATATTCTCCATTATAAAGCATCAGTGGTTGCACAAATGTAGCATATAAATTGAACAAACTTCCTATTACTTAACATTTTGGTTGCTTCTAGTACTTTGAAAACGTTATTGTTTAATTATATTACAAATATTTAAGCATTTTCACTATGGGAAATTTAGTGTCTGGTTTATTTGCTCTATTTTGCCTGTTTGTTATTGTAAACAGTGCTCAAAATAAAGCTGTTTATGTGTTTCTGCAGTCTTTTAAGAATATATGTTTATCTACAAGTAATTTATGACTGTGAGAGTTTTGAGTCAGAGTAGGTGATATCCCAATCACTTCAAAAGATTGTCAAATATACTCATACACACCCCCCAACATTATTATAACACAGTTTTACAAATATTAAGTATACTAAGTATCATTTACATATATATATGGGTGTGTGTGTGTGTGTGTATTTAAAAGGGCCACAAATTTCTTTTTTTAAATTTTCCTTTCTGGATGCACACATCCTTAAAGTTAAGACTAAATATATACATGGAAATTTACATTTGTTGGTGAGATGAGTAATATGTGATTAAATCAAGGATTACTTGGAAGGCAGTGTAACTTGGTAGCTAAGAAATAGACTCCAAACCTCTTTTTCTAGAACATTTCTCTCTAGCTCATTCTTGGTCAAATAAGGCTGGTCACATGACCTCTTATGGCCTAATATTGGAGATCCATTATTGGATCAAATTCCAGGTTGCATGCACCTGCAAACACCAGACAAACTTACTCAGAAATTCACCAGTTCAATTAACTGACATTTAGCCCTGATAATGCACCAGAAAATTTCTTCTCCTAGGTCTTCCTTCCCCAAATGATAAGTTACCCTTTGAACTGTGGAAAAATATTCAACTCTTAACACTTAAAAGAGCATCAAAGAGGACACCTCAGAGGACAATCTGCATTGTAGGAATTTCCCTGGGTTAGTTTGCAACAGTGTGGCATGGTGGAAAGTACATAAAATGAGGAAATAGCAGATTTGGGCTTAAATAGCAGTTACTCTTCTACGCCAAGTGGATAAATCACTTAACTTTTGTGAGTCCATTTCCTTGTCTGCAAAATATAAGTGATATTATCAGCTTTATCTGTCTCATAGCATGCTTTGTAAATTCTACATCATAGACAAATGAAAAGAATTATCATTTATTTATCATGTGTTGATAACACAGCTTCAGTTAACATATTAAAACACAGTAATTTCAAAAGCAAACATTTTTAATCAGTTTATATAGTTCTATATCACTGTGGAGCTCTCATATAGTTATGATTGTGGAGCTCTGGTGCCCCAGTAGTAAGGTTGCACTGTCAACCCAAAGGCAGGTGGTTCGAATCCACCAACTGCTCCATAGGAGAAAGCTACATAATCTCCTCCTCTGTGACTTACAGTCTCTGAAGATCTTCTGGAGGGTCACCTGTGAGTTGGTTCCTCCTTGACAGCAATGAAAAACGGCAACATGCATATAGCTAAAGGAATCCTGGTGGTTCAGGGGATTAAGTGTTTTGATACTAACCAAACAGTTGGCAGTTTGAATCTACCAGAAGTTTCACAGAAGAAAAATTAGACAATCTACCTTCAGTCTGTGGGGCTGTGCTTGTCTGTCCTGTAAGGTTGCTATGAATTGGAATAGGCTTGTTGGCAGTGAGTTTTAGTTTGGAGATTTAATATAATTGTAAACATTTCATAGAGCAAACCCAGATGTAATTAAGGTGAATTCCAAAAAAGCTATGGAAAGATGATAAATAATTTCTTCTAATTATATTACTTCATCTGGCAGTGACTACCTTGGGAAAGTTAAGGATAGTTACATTAAGGATACTTTTGAGACCCAATGTCCAATTCTCGAAGGAGAATATGCCCTGAGAGGTTGCAGTGTCTACTGTAGGCACACTATACAAGTGTGTTGTATTTGGCATTTCTCTTATTTGTTCACTTTTCAAAACAAGTCTGTGAGAGGAATATATTCAAATGGCCAACAGATACATGAAGAAATGCTCCAAATCACTGGCTATAAGAGAGATGCTAATCAAAACCACAGTGAGGTACCACAGTGAGTGGTAAAGTTTAACATGATGGCCAGTAATAAATGTTGGAGAGGATGTGGCAAGATAGAAACTCTTTTACATTGTTGGTGGGATTGTAAAATGGTACAACCACTCTGAAGGCAGTTTGGCATTTCCTCAAAAAGCTGAACATAAAAATTTCATATGACCCAGCTAGTCATTCCATTGCTTGGAATATGTTGTTGTTGTTGTTGTTGTTGTTAAGTGTGACTTATAGCGACCCTATGAAGGAAAGTCCTCAACACTTGTGTAACTTTCACCCTCTCTCCAGGTTCATAGGGTTTCTGAAGGCAAACTTTTACGGAAGTGGATGCCACTCCTCCTTCCTTCCAGGCTCGTTTTAATCGGGGAGCTCTACCAAACACTATCCACCATGGGTAACCAATAAAGCATTTGACACATCAGTGTCACAGGGCTATACGACCTAGAAGAGTGTTTGAACAAAAACAATGAAAGACAGGCCTGAGGGCCATGGATTAAAAGTCACCCACTTTTGTCTTGATAGCATCGCTTTCTGTCCACTGGGCCAACTGATCACTCTCTATGTTGATGTTACTGTTGTTAAGTGTCATCAAGTCATAGGTGACTCATAGTGATCCTATGAAGGAAAGTCTTCAACACTTGTGTGACTTGGAATATACCCCAAGAAAATGAGAACTGAAGCTCAAATGGAAACTTGTACACTAATGTACATAGCAGCATTATTCACCATCACAAAAGCATAGAAACAGCCCAGATGTCCAACCACAAATACATAGACTTAGAAGTTGTTGTACATTCATACAATGAAATACTACACAGCACGCAGGAGAAATCATTCTGTAATTTACTCCCTAACTTGGGAGGGATTGGAAAGCATTATGCTGAGTGAACTAACTCAGTCCAATAAGGACAAATACAGTATAAAACCGTTATTATGGAATGAGTCTCAGGATCCAAGGCAGGAGTGTGGAAGCAGAGGGGTGGGAATGTGGGGGAGGGGATGTTAATCATAGGGTTGCACAATTTGATGGGTGAGAGGTAAATGAAAGGGGAGGGATCTTTTGTGAGAAAAAATGTATTGAAACTTTGTAAATAAATCAGTATAAAATAATAAAAAAACAACTCTGTGGTATACAAGACACATTCTCCACTAAATGTAATCACCAAACTAAAAAAATAACCTTATTCTGCAAAAAAGATAAAGCACCTTAGGAATAAGAAACAGGAACTATTGGGAAGACCAGAAAAGTCCAATTTGTGGACAGTCTAGTCAGGTTTTCTCTTTGCACAGGTATGAAGTCAGAGGCTCAGAGAGCGGTAGTGACATTATGCTCGCTTCAAATGGGATAATGAATGTGAAAATGCTTTGAAAACTACAAAGCAACATACAAATGTATTTTAGTGTTCTTAATTAGTATCTTTATCTATATTTCTTTGTTTATGCACAGTAATTAATTCCTGCTGAAAATGACGCCCCCACAGATCTAGCCTGACTTCATGCTTTTTTCTCATATTTATACCATTTATTTCTGACAAAGCCTAATTACCAAAAACTATTAGAGAAGTCTTGCATTTAAAAAGCCAGTAATATCAACTAATAGTATCTTTTAAGAACTGTGGTTGCAAAGTAACTTTTTATGTTGTAATTATTTTACTTTATTGGCTATAAAATAATGGCACTAACATGGAAAACAATACTGACAGTCACACATTAAAAAAGCTTTTCCTTATAAAAATTAGAGATAAAACATTAATTTTTTCCCCAGTAATGAGAATTTCACAATAAAGAGAGCAGCAAGCAGAACTTCTAAAATAGAATAGCCGCTTTCATTTTCATCATTCATATTTCAGTGGTCAATTGCCTTTAATAGTTTTTCATAATTTTTACTAATTCTCTTGTTCTAAAACATTAAAGTATACTACTATACTGCCAAATAATGTGGCACTTCCACATTTTTTTCAGTGGATTAAATCTGTGAAACAATCTAAATACTAATTTCTCTTTTAACAGGCATGAAGGCTATGTACCAAGCAGTTACCTGGTGGAGAAATCACCAAATAGTCTGGAAACCTATGAGTAAGATTATTTTGTTTTTCAATACATGGAACTTCTTAGGCTAAGAGAGCTTCCTGTTATCGTTGTTAGGTGCCACTGCGTCAGCAGAGACCATTCGAACAACAGACTGGAATCTTGCCCTATCCTTCCTCACCTTCACAATCTCCTTTACTTTCCAGCCTGTTGTTGCATTCAGTGTGTCAATTCAATTCATTAAAGATTCTCATCTCTTATTCAGACCTTCAACTTTTCTCAGCAGGATGGATTTTTCCAAGTACTGGTCCCTCCTCTCAACATGCCCAAAGTATGTGACGTTAAGTTTCCCCATTCTTGCTTCTAAAGAGTACCCTAGATTCACTTCGTCCAAGACAGATTGTTCTTCTGGACGTTGGTGGCATATTACTAAATATGTATTACTCTTTGTCAACACCACAATTCAAAGCCATCAATTCTAGTATGGTGATTTTTTATCTCTGAGGTTCAAGTTGTCTACTTTCAGGGGAAGGATCTCTTTAAAGTACTAAAAAGTACTTTGTACAATGTAAAGACTAAGATGTGCAAGACACAATTCACGGTATTTTCAGTTTTTTTCATATGCATTTGAAAGTTGAATATGGAAGATTGCCTTTGTATTGTGTGTTGGGGAAGAATATTGAATATCCTATGGACTTCCAAATAAACCAAAAAAATCTGTTGGAAAAAGTGCTTCTACGGTATTTCTTAGAAGATGAGATGGTGAGACTTTGTTTTACATGCTTTGGATATGTTTTCTTTTGAAATGGTCTTTTAAAAAAACATCATGCTTGGAAAGGTGGAAAGTCAGAAAAAGAGTAAGACCCTCAATGACATGGATTGACACAGTGACTGGAGCAATGGGCTTGAGCCCATTGGTAGAGAATGGCACAGGTTTAGAAAGGGTTTTAATCTATTAGTCATAAGTTCACTGTGAGTTTGAGTCTATTCAACTGCATCTAACAGAAGCAACAAGTGTGTCTTAACAAGGTGGTACCTGGTTAAGACTATTACCTATGTAACTGAACCCAAAGCAATGTAATGATTTATAAATCAATATGCTATTATTGTTGTTAAGTGAAAAAAAAGAAAAGAGAGAAACTTAAAAATGATGATAAGACATTTAAAAGTGAAACATTTGAATACTGAGATTAACGCATAAATGTATCTTGCACTAGCTCCATAAAATTATTCAGAAATCCCAACAGATTTCAAAAAAAAGGTTATAGCATAGCATATATCATATGGATCGTTAAATTAACAGAATTCTCCTGTCTTTTTAGGGTTTCTATGAATCAGAATAAACTGGCAAGCAATGGGTTATAGCTTTTCTCTAGTATCATGACTTTTCACCATGTCATTCCACCTGGTAGAGGGTCTTCTCCTTTGCCAGCCCTTCACATTTCCCAGCATCATATCCCTCTCCAAGGAATAGCCCCTCCTAGCAACATGCTCAAAGTAGATAAGGCGAGGCCTCATCATTCTTGCCTCCTAAGAGCAGTACAGCTGTATCCTCTCCAAGACATATATGCTTGTTCTTTTGGACATCCATTGGATGTTCAGTGTTCTTCTCCAACACCTCAGCTCAAACGCGTCAGTTATTTTTCTGTCATCCATATGACTCAGGATAAATATTACTATTATATATAAGCCCTATTGAAGAAGAAGGAAGCATCAGGATTGAAGGAAGATTATTGACAATGTGCATGTAACAGAATATGCAGGTAACACAATTTTTTGGTGAAAGTAGAGAACTTCAAGCACTTACTGATGAATATCAAAGACTACAGCTTTTAGTGTGGATAATTTCTCAAAATAAAAATTTAAAATCTTCAGAACTGCCCTAATTTGAAACATCTTGATAAATGGAAGATGAAATGAAGACAAGGATTTTATTTCACTTGGGCCCACAGTCAACATCAATGGACAGATTCAAATCACATGCCTTAGTATTGGCAGCACAACTCCTTGCCACCAGGCTACCAGAAGTGTTAAAAAGCAAAAATGTCACCTTGAGGACTGGCTCAACCCATAGTACTTTCAAATGCTTCATATGCACTAGTAATCTGAACAGTAAAAAGAAACTTAAGAAAATGGATACATTTGATTTTTGGCATTGACAAAGAATTTGGCTATACCATGGACTGCCACAACAATGAACAAATCTGTTTTGGGAGAAGTCTGGCCAAAATGATTCTTAGAAGTAAAGGTGGTGATGCTCCTTCTCATGTGCTCTAGATCTTTATCAGGAGGGAACAGTCCCTGGAGAAGGATATCCTGCCTGATAAAGTATAGGAGCAATGGAAAAGAGGAAGACCCTCACCAAGAAGGACAGGCACAGTGACTGCATCAGTGGTCTCAAAGAATAGTGAGGCTGGCACGGGACTGGACAGTGCTGCTCTTGTGCATTGGGTTATTACACACTGGACCTGACTTGACAGTACCCAACAAACCAGTTTTCCTGCCCTCAAAGATGTAATCACTAGCATTCCTTTGTAAAACTATTCAGTTGTTGAAGGTCCAAAAAGATCAGTGAATCTACTAATTAGCTTACTCATTATTACTTTCAAATTGTCAAACAATTGTGATACACATATCAACTTCTCCAAATAGAACATCTTTCCTAAGTTTATTGCTTTCTAAAAGGAATTGCTAACCGAGGATTTTTTAAGATTCTCACCACTGGACCAATTGGCAGCGTCAGGATGGATGGCGAAGAGATTGAGATTGTTCACAGCTTCAGTTTGCTCGGCTCCACAGTCAACACTCTTGGCACCAGCAGTCAGGAAATCAAAAAGCGTATCGCGATGGGAAAGTCTGCTGTTAGGGACCTCTCAAAGGTACTCAGGAGCAACAGTGTCTCTATAGAGACTAAGGTGCGCCTGATACAGGCCATGGTCTTTGCAATCACTTGTTATGCATCAGAGAGTTGGACAATGACTAGGGAGGACAGAAGGAGAGTGGATGCTTTTGAGCTGTGGTGCTGGAGAAGAGTACTGAATGTACCATGGACTGCCAGGAAAGCAAACAGATTCATCTTGGAGAGGATTAAACCAAGCTACTCCTTGGAGGCAAGAATTCTGGGGCTTCGTCTGACATACTTTGGACATGTTGCCAGGAGGGACGGGGCCTTGGAGAGGGACATCATGCTTGGGAGGGTGGAGGGACAGCGCAGGAGGGGAAGACCCTCTATGAGATGGACTGATTTGGTGACTGGGGTAATCGGGATGGGTGTGTCAGAGGCGGTGGGGTTGGCTCAGGATAGAGCAGGGTTTAGGGCTCATAGGGTCGCTATGAGTCGCAAACGACCCGACGGCACATAACAACAACAACAACCGAGGATTATTATCCTTCCTTGTACCTATTTGGTATTTACGGAAATCAGGATAGTGGCTCAACATTTTTCGGGAAAAGGAAAGAAATTTTTAAATTATCCTTTATCTCCCCAAATTACTAATATTCTTACCACTTTTTGTTTTATTTTTTAACCAAACGTCTATAGTTTTAAAATAATGTATAACTTTGCTGAAGGTCTTAAAAACTAGCTTTAAGGAAGTAGTTTTACAGAGATAGTTGCCAAAGTTTGTATTAAATTTAATACATATTTACTATTTGTATATTTGTGTTAAATCTTTATAGCTACTCTAGAGTATCATTCTACTTATAACTATTTACTGAGTTCTAAAATGGAGGATATAAAAGATTCCTAAAAAGTCTATTATGTAAAATTTCAAACGTAATCATAAGTAGAAAGTATAACATTATGAACTTCCAAGTACCCAATACCCAGCTTCAACAATTACCAATATTTTTTAGTCCTATTTAACTTATTCTTCTCCAATTTAATATTTTATTACTTATGAAAGTATCATAGTTTTGCTATAGAGTTTAAAAACCTTGTTGGAGACAGAACATGGCTGAATTACTTTCCAGCATTAGTCTACAATATGTGCAAAGTGACCTTTTAGAAGTATTATACATGACTTTTTTTTTCTGCTTTCAGATGGTACAATAAGAGCATCAGTCGTGACAAAGCTGAAAAACTTCTATTGGACACAGTAAGTTTCCAGACCTTTTCCTCTGAGTTAAAATGAATTGTCCCACTGAGTTTGTTTCAGTCTCTCTGTGGTTTATGTGAATACAGTGGTTGACATACTGGATTAGCAGTGGTTGTCAGGTCTACTGATAATAAATTAGAGACCTATAGAACTCGCCAAGAACAAGAATGTCCAGTAACCATTACTTTAAATGAGATGTCAATGTTTAGTATATCTGGCTGCTAATTGAAAGGTTGGAGATGCAGGTCTGTCTCGAGACTCCTCAGAAGAAAGGTTTGGTGTTGAACTTTAGAAAACCAGCCATCAAAACCCAGAGCACAAGTGTATCCTGGAGTCATCCAAGAGTTAGAACCGATTTAATGGCAACTGGCTTTTGTCTTTATGAATTTGTGTTTTTTCAGTAACTTGGTCTGTGGCTATGTGTGAGCCTTACAGAAAAGAACAAGGGAACATGTCAGGAAAAGAACAAAAAGCTATAAAGGGAAAGTGGAGAGAATGAGAAATACTGTCAACTGGTAATTGAAAGGCTTAGAGTTTATTTGCATACTGTTTACTTTGTAAATTATATTTAATATTTCACTATTTCCAGCAGTAGGGAAATCAGGAGATATATTGCACTGGCAAAGTCTACAGCCAGGGGCCTCTCCAAATTACTGAGGAGTATTGATGTCAGTTTGAGGACTAAAGTATATCTGATTCAAGCCATGGTCTTTCTTATCACTTACTGTGCATCTGAGAGCTTGACAATGAATACAAATGTCAGAAGAAGAATTGATGTATTTGAGCTATGATGTTGGAAAAGAGTACTAAACATATATCATGGTCTCCACTTGATCCAGACAATTGCATTCAATGCATCAGAGAGCTGGACAGTGACTAAGGATGAAAGAGTAAGAATTGATGCCTCTGAGTTGTAGTGCTTGAGAAGAGTATTGAACCACCATGGACCACCAGGAGAACAAATAGGTCTGTCTCAGAACAGGTGAAACCAAGTTTCTCCTTGACGGCAAGGATTTTGAAGTTGCATCTTACATACTTTGCGCATGTGGCCAGGAGGGACCGATTCTTGGAGAAGGACATCATGCTTGGAAGGGTGGGAGGGACAGCATAGGAGAGGAAGACCCTGGATGAGATGGATTGATACAGTAACTGGGGCAATGGGGGTAGTAGATGTGTCAGAGTCAGTGAGACTGGGTCAGGATGGGGCAGGGTTCAGAGCTGTTATACATAGAATCACTATAAGTTGCAAGTGACTCTACAGCACACAACAACAACAATATACATTAGAATCATGGAAACTTTTAAATTAATAGACGTTCCTACATCCTGTCAAAAACTCCAGGTTCACAATCACCAATATTTATTCTTAGGACTTTGTAGTTTTTTTATTTTTTTACAAGTAAACAATAACATACTATGACTGGTTGGAAACAGGAGTGGCATTCAATTCCTAAACAACATGCCTCTGGAAACCCCATGAACTTTGATAAATGTCAATAGTTGTAGAGGGGCTTCAGGCCTTTTTGTCATAGGGTCACTATGAGTCAACTCGAAGGCAATTAACACCATCACCACCACCACTTATCTATATGAAACTAGCCCAGCACCTCAACCCCCAACCTGTGATAATATTGATAGCATGGCAAATATTGATTGATACGAACTAGCTGAGAGGAGTTTAAAACCAGGAGCAATATTTTTTGTTTCCAATAATCTACTCACTTAATGAAGTGTTGTAAATTATTGTTGTTATGTGTCATTGACTATTATATGCTGTTGTGGTGTGTCGTCAGCTCAGAACTGACTCATAGCTGACCCTCCAAAGGATTTTGTTATGTTTTAAATTACACATGAGAGTCTTCATCTTTCTCCCTTTAGTTGGTGTATTTGAACTGCCTTCCTTTGAGTTAGTAGCACAACTCCCCACCCACTTGGCCACCATAGCTCCCTGCTCTTAAAACAGTCCACATTAAAACCTAGCTAAAGATGATTCCTATTTTACAATTCTTTTGCAGCACGTAATATATTTTACTTGATAGAGGAGTTGAAAATTAGTCTGAAATTTTCTATCAAATCTTATTTTTCTTCTAGATAATGAGAATACATTTCAGTGAATTCTTGTCAAATTTTCTATAACTATAATTGAAAAGTTAATTGATTTACTTTTCCCTGTATGCTACTTGAAATGTTGTTGTTGTTGTTGTTGTTGTTATGAGCCATCGAGTTGCCTGCGACTCATAATGATCCTATGTGCTACAGCCCTAAGCCCTGCTCTATCCTGTGCCAACCTCACTGGCTCTGACACACCTACCCTATTACCCCAGTCATTGAATCAATTCATCTCATAGAGGGTCTTCCTCTCCTGCACGGTCCTTCCACCATCCCAAGCATGATGTCCCTCCTCAAGGACTGGTCCCTCCTTGCAACATGTCCAAGGTATGTCAGATGAAGCTTCAGAATCCTTGCCTCCAAGGAGTAACCTGTTTTAACCATCTCTAGGACTAACCTGTTCATTTTCTTAGCAGTCCATGGTATATTCAATATTCTTCTCTAACACCACAGCTCAAAGACATCAATTCTCCTTTTATCATTCCTTGTCATTGTCCAGCTCTCTGATGCATAGGAAGTGATTACAAACACCATGGACTTCAGCTTCCCCCCACCCAACAGGTAAACCTGACCCAGAAGCCTGCAATTCAAGGCAGAGTCTGAAATTGTTGGGGCCTGAGGGTCACAGGCCCTCAAGCCAGGAAAACAACAATATATACCAGATCTACAGGACTCATCCTCACTTGGAAAACATTACTACCAAACTCAAGAGACATTGGCATAAGTAATTGGCAGCAGCTTGAAGCATTTGGAATCATAGAAGCCCATAAAGCTTGAGATAGAAGCTATCAGATCAAGGACTGTACAATGGGAGATGGTGTTGAAGGGAGTAGGTGGGGGTGGAAGGGAATGCTGGTGTAGAAGGGAAATGGGTGGGTCAAGACACAAGGGTGTGGACAACACTGAAACTATTGGTTAATTCTACAACTGTTGTTGTTGTTGTTGTTGTT